GACACAGAGTACCTTATTTAGAAAATCTAAAAGGATGGTTGACAGGGAAATACCGGGCTAAAATATTTGTGAGGCAGCGTGGTGGAATCAGGCTCTCGTCAAAATAATCAAAGTGAAGAAACGTGCATTTTTTCACAGGTTTGTAAATCTTTACCAAATTTTTGTTTTTTGGCCCAACATCTTTCAGGTCCATTAAAGAACTCATTTCTATGTGGATTTTTCTGAAAAACGTTTATTAAAGGCACGAAAAATGTAAATTTTCAGTTACCATGGACTCTTAAACTAAGGAAATAACTAATCTTTGGCGGCCATTTCTCACTAATTTTACCTCTGAAAACAGGTGACCCCCACCTCCTTCTTTCGCAAATATCTCGACTTGTATTCAAGATAGATGGATATTTTTTTAATCCAACTAAAGACAAGGGAACAAGCTTTAAGATGATACCAACAACTCTACAGGCCAAAAATTGACGAGAGCCTGATTTCACCACGCTGCCTTACATTTTTTTTTCTTTTTTTTTCTTTTCTTTTTTCTTTTTTCTTTTTCTTTTTTTTTTGAGTATCCAAGAATAGAGATAATTGAAGAATCATGATTTCTCATGTCTGTTCTGGACCGCGCATTTTATGGCAGGGAAACACCAGGATAGAATAGGCTTATTTATTTATTTATTTATTTATTTATTTATTTATTTATTTATTTATGTATTTGAGAGCATACGAGTTGAGGAATAAAGAAAGAACCATGATCGCCGATATCTGTTCCGGATCACGAATTTTGTGATGATGGGGATCAGGTAGAACCGGGCAGAAGATTGAAAAATCGCCGTAGCAAATAGAGCTGGTCAAAGAATTGAGTCTGGAACCGATTCCTGCGATCATGTTTCCAGTTACTTTAATCATTAAAATCTTTTTTTTTTCCTTTTTTTTAAAACTCGAAAAATAAAAGTTATTGCTTCGTAGTGTTCCAAAATCAAGGTTATCCTAAATACTGGGGATGTTTGGAGCCAACCAGGTAATCACCGAACGAAACCACATCATTAGAAAGAAAGTAATTGGGTTCGGAGTCGATTCCTACGACTTCTAGCCTTTAATAATCGGGAACCTAGCCGCCCGTCACTACTAGCAAACCTGGTACCAGACGTCGGTGCCTGAGATTGGAAACAGTACCTGCCACGCCATTGTCCTCCACGACATCAACTGAACGATCAGGGTGACCACATGGGTTTTTTTTTCTTCTGAAACTTGTTGTTACTTGGAACACAAAACAAACATTTAACACTATTAACCTTCTGTCACATGCTACTATTACAGGAATTAGCCAAACCTGTTCCTCTGCTCTGTGTTGTGATTCTTTCCGGAGCTTTAGGGCCCCGATGCGTTGGATTGGAATCTCACTCTTCACGCACAACTGAACCGAGGCTCTAACTAGCCTTTTTCACAACCTATACTTTCAGCAGGCCTCTTCTGCCTTGATACAACTCTCTCCTCTAAAAGTCCCACCAGTAGTAACTCACACTTTTATCAACTTGCAAACAATACAACTGAACACAGACTCGCACTTTACTCACTCTCACACTTTCAGCCAAACAATACAATAGGCTAGGCCTGACCCCTGCCACAACCAAAAACAACCAAATACACCACAAAACTGAAAGAGTTAAGGAACATAGAAGTAGCAGTCTCGGTGTGGTTGGTATCCCAGAACCACCTACTACTTACTTACTTACTGATCCCTTCATCCATGAGGGTCGTAGGAGCGCTGCATGATAGAGAGCCTCGTCAGGTGCCTCTACCTTTCACGGTTTTTCGTGAGCGCCCGAGGTTGGGTTTTAGTTTTAGTTTAGTTTTAGTAAGTGTTTTACTACACTTGCAACACAATACGGTTATATAAGTGCCAAAGATTAGAAGAGAGTAACAAACACAAAAACGAAGGAGGGGAGATAAAGACGATAGATGTTTGATAGAAAAGAAGAAGCAAACCACACCAGAGCACCCGCCAATCATCCACCCTGAGTTTGTGCGAAAGATTTCCCTGTCCACTCCGCAATGTTGTCTGTCCACCTCTTCCTTTGCCTTCCTCTCCGTCTCCTCTCCAGCATAGTTCCTGAAGAATTCTCTTGGATAGGCCGTACGATCTCGTCTACTAGTGGATGTTAATTCTCTTCAGACGTAGAGGACACATATTACCGACCAGCAGTAGACCAAAGGCAACGTTACGAAAATTTCGAACCATTATACATTTTTCTTTTAAAATCTTTTTTTTTTTCTTTTTTTTTTTGGTGTGGGGGGTTTACCAGCTTTCTTTAAAGTCCTTGTATCACATTCGAAATTATTTTTCATATGCTTAAGAACATGAACATGTGGGGGGGGGGTATATTTCATAGGATACATGTTGCTGCTTGCATTTTAAATTCCTGATAAAGAAAACAGAATTGAAAAAAAGCAACAAAAAACAAAACTGTATGAATAACAAACGACCCACCGTGCCCACAAAGTTATGCCCCAAAACAGAGAGTCTTAATCCTATCCGTACGTCGTGTTTTACTATCGTATCCATACAACGTGGGGTACTCTGTGCCACCACTTTTCATAGAGGAAATTTACTCGTTAATCCTATCCGTACTCTTTGCATTGCTGTCTGTCAAAATGATTTTTGAGAAATACTGAAAGTTTCAACGAGATTTTTGCACTTGAAGTATTCTAAAATATGAAGAATACAACCCCTGGGGTACAAAATGACGCCAGAGCGTAGGGATATGGTTAAAAACGTTCTCGAACAACAAGAATGCGTATCCCCAATGAGTTTTTACAAACCACACTCTGAAAGAAAGAACACCCAGTAGCTGTTTTGCTATGTGACAGTTTTTCTCAATCCTTTCAGTTAAATCGTTAAGAGACAAGATAAGCCTGGGTTGACGAGAAGAAAAAATCTAAACAATTAATTGTGCCTTGTTATATATCTGTTCTTAGATGGACAATCAAAATCCACGCGTTCTTATCACATATACTATTAGCTGTTGTTTCCTTCAGAAATGCAAATGTGAGGCAGCGTGTTGGAATCAGACTCTCGTCAAAATAATCAAAATGAAGAAACTTGAATTTTTCCGCAGGTTTGTGCATTTTTATTAAAAATTTTTTTTTTGGCTCAACTTCTTTCGTGCCCATTAAAGAACTCATTTCTGTGTGGATTGTTCAGAAAAACGTTGATTAAAGATACAGAAAATGTAAATTTTCAGTTATCACGGACTCTAAAGTTAAGGAAATAACTAACCTTTGGCGGCCATTTTCTCACTAATTTTACATCTGAAAACAGGTGACCCCCACCTCCTTCTTTAGTAAATATCTCGACTTTTATTCAAGATAAATGGATACTTTTTCATCCAAATAAAGACATGTGAACAAGCTTTAAGATGATACCAATAACTCTACATGCCCAAAAAATTGACGAGAGCCTGATTCCATCACGGTGCCTCACAAATAACCTGGTTTACCTAAAAGTTACAGACTCTCCATCAAAGTCACCATTGATATGACATGAAGGGATTATTTCTATCATTTCCCAAAAAGAGAGTTTTAAAATAGTTTTAGCGAGGCAAGTTAAGCCCAACATTTCTGCTTTCATGACAAATTACAGAACTGCTTAATTTAAGTCTCTTTGTATTCATAAGCTTTTTTGACAAGACAACAGGTGTTCAAGATTGTACACACCATAGACCTAATTATAGGTCTATGGTACACACTTTCAGTCATTCTCCCCCTTCTCCTCCGCCCTCCCCCCCCCCCAAATCCTCCTCTTCTTCATTACGACCATAGCTAAATAAGTATTCTTTTTTTAAAATTTGTCATCGTCACCATTATAAATAAAAATGCGATAGATCTAATAATGGGTTGGTTTTTTTCTCTCACGTTCAATGTCTACACATTTCACCATAACACAAAACGACAAGGCAACAAAATTGTCAGTAGTTGCAATCGATTTATTGTTTTTAAGAGAAAAATTGGAAATTGAGCCATATTGTTGAGATAGTGAAGGACAATTTACGTCAAGCCAACGTCATCAGTCCCCCGGCGTTCGTGTTTTGGGAAAGTTGCATGGCTTTCCAATGTGCATGTACCACAGAGGTTATATATTGTACTAGAGTTCGCAGCTGTGACGTCACACGTGTCAGACATGGGAACCTTCTTACCCTCACCGGCATGGCCGGCGTGCCCCCTTTTACATGAATAATCTGAGCCCCACCCCACTCCCACGAGCTCTTGTATATCATATCTTCTTCTTCTTCTTCTTTTTCTTCTTCTTCTTCTTCTTCTTCTTCTTCTTCTTCTTCTTCTTCTTCTTCTTCTATCCCGTGGTTGAGGCAACCGTGGGGGCACCACTGCATCTGAAAACCATCTCTCGCCGTCTATTTTCGTCCTCTGATATCATATAACACCTCCCAAACCCCATATTTCAGTGCAAGCTTGTAGATTTCCTCCTAAGACAACTTGAGACGCATCCACGTGAGTCTCCAAAAGTACTCACCCGTCTGTTGTACTGCGCATGCCTTGCCCTTGAGGTTCAGCGTCCCAGAGTAGGCGCACCCAAGCCTCGTTCGTTTAAGAAGGGGATATGTGAGGCAGCTTGGTGGAATCGGGCTCTCGTCAAAATAATTAAAGAGAAGAAACTTGCATTTTTTCCGCTGAATTTTTATTAATTTTTGGGGGTTTTTTTTACTCAACACCTTTGATGCCCATTAAAGAACTCATTTCTGTGTGGATTTTTCTGAAAAAAACCCCGTTGATTAAAGGCACAAAGAATGTAAATTTTCAGTTACCACGGACTCTTAAGCTAAGGAAATAACTAATCTTTGGCCGCCATTTTCTCACTAATTTTACCCCAGAAAACAGGTGACCCCCACCTCCTTCTTTCGCAAATATCTCAACTTGTATTCAGGGTAAATGGATATTTTTTTCATCCATATAAAGACAAATGAACAAGCTTTAAGATGATACAAATAACTCTACATGCCCAAAAATTGACGAGAGCCTGATTCCACTACGCTGCATCACATATTACCGTTACTGCCACGAACTCTGGTACTAAATGTAACCTCTTTGACGTGTCCTCACTTTTAGATTTCCAAGGTTTCCATTTCATGGTTTGCTTGAGAAGTCATCTCTTGTCTTGTTACCTGAGCCGTTGATTTGGTCTCCACGGAACACGTTGGTGTTTTCTGTCCTCTCTCCCTGGATGCTGAAGAGTCAATCACTGTTTCGGAGAGCAGCAGACTTTTATACATGGCCAGGACTCTTTTGTTGCAAACGTAGGAGAGGAAAATGAACAGACCCTGCGAGCCATTGAAGACAATAGCTACCAGCCTGTAGAAATCAGACGGGAAATTTAAAATATAATATTAATATATGTATGCCAGGGTGTCTTTCGTTCAATAATAACAATAATAATCATTATAATAGTCATAATAATATAATAAGAATAATAATAATAATAATAATAATAATAATGATGATGATAATGATAATAATAATAATAATAATAATAATAATAATAATAATAATAATAATAATAATAATAATAATAATATTAATAATAAAAATGAAGAGCTTTTTAGAGCGCCCGCTACCGCGTAAGCACAGATCTTCACACTTTAAACAAATCAAAGTACAAAACAACAACTATGAAAAAGATAAAAGATGATACATCACCCATAATAGCAGACAGAAACACCCACACGCACACACATACACACACATACACACGCACACACATGCACACACATACACACGCACACACATACAATCACAAATACAATTTCTCTCTCATCACACATGAACGCATATTATACATCATTATGAGAGATCAGTAAGTTAACCAAAATACTCCTTCTTTCCTTTAAAACATCTATCGTCCTTATCTCCCCTTCTTCTTTTTTATGTTTGTTATTAATCTCTTGCAACACCTCTAATCTTCTGGCGCTCATACTTTATGCCGTTGCGAGCACTGTAAAACCTCTACTAAATTATAAAAAAAAACAAACATAGAATGATACATAGTAATTTACATAATAGTTTTAAACTACAGGGTGATCCCCATAAAAAACTGTACAACTTTTTAAAAAGATATAAAAAGTTGTACTAGAATGTTGTAATTTGGAAAATACATAATTCATTCAAACGAAATTTGTTTGACATAAAATTCACAAAGAAGAAACTTATTTCCGAAAACGGAAATGGCTTTTATAAAAAGCACCTATAAATGCAAAATGCACCAATTTAAAAGATCTTGTAAGGAAATTTAAGAAATAATTGACTGGGGGTTTGTGTTTTCCTTTCCTTTTCTTTTAAAAATCTAATCTTTCCATCCCCGTAACCTTTAAACAATATTTCTTGTCTCCTACAGAGTTTTTTAAATTATATTCTGGAGTTCCGTAAACCACTGTCCTAACTGATGGAGCATTTCCACCCTTGACACCAAAGAAGGCCTTAAGGGCACTTTAACATTATTTCCGTACCTTGTGCGCTCTTACGAATTTAGTTGGTGGTGAGGAAGTGTTCAATATAAAAGGCTCTCTGCTCTTTACTGATCTTAACCATGATCTCAGCTGACAAAGGAAACTTGAAAAAGACTATCTGCAAACTTCTGTTGGTCAGTTAGACTACTGTAGTTTACAATATGGCGCAATCGTTGGGATTTTTAGTGTCAGGCCTAATTGCGAACTAGTGCGTCATGCTATAAAGACGGGGACATAGCTGGAAATGGGTTGTTTTTCACATGCTTTTTAGAGCAAACTATTATGTAGATTTATCTAAAATGAACACCAAAAAAATTCCTTTTGACTTCCAAATATTGGGTTAAAATTTGAAACGCTAAACTTCAGCGTGGAGGAAAATAATACCCCAAAATATTGTACAGCTTTTTTTGGATCACAATGTATGTCATTGTTATCATCATATTATATAGCCTACTAGCAAAATACCCATTCTACAAACGGAGAAATAGTGTAAGCTGGGTGGTTTACTTAGTGCTTAAGTACAGATCTAGATCTAGATCTTCCAAGACTGACAAGAGAATAGGCCTACAACTCCTTTGTTGAGCACATATCAGAGTACAAAATATTGATGCTAAAATAATTACTAATAAACTAAAGCATGATCATGTGACTCTTATTTTAAAAGAACTTCACTGGATCCCGGTGAAAGAGTGTATCATATCTAAAATCTGTTTAACATGCTACAAGTGTATACATGATTTATCACCTGACTATCTAAAACAATTCTTTTAACACCCTATGTACCACCTAGAACGCTCACATCATCAAGTGACAAAACAACCCTTGTTAAACCTAAAATAAATTACAAATCATGGCTCTTTTTCATATTTTGCCCCATTTGTTTGGAATAGGCTTCCAAAAACTATCAGAGAAGCAGAAAAACTTAAAATTTTTCAGAAGAAACTAAAAGCATTTCTATTTTCATCATAATATTTCGATTAGACAGTATCCATCCAAGTTGTATATCATTGTGAGTTTGTATTTGCATATGTGCGTATGTACATATATGTGTATGTGTGTATGTATGTGTGTATGTGTGTGTGGTGCGTGCGTGCGTGAGTATGTGTGGACACGCGTATGTAACACAATGTGCCTTTAAAATTGATTTGTAAATCCATAATATGTATCATGTTAAGCGCATAGAGCATTGCATAAGTGGATATGCGCTATATAAATGCAATCCATTATTATTATTATATCAAACTGTAGGACTAAAGAAAAACAGACACTCTCTAGTTCATATTCCGCCTTCACTTCCAAATAGGTTTCGATAGATCTAAAAACATCCAGGTCGTCTACATATAAAACATAGATTTCATAGCGGATCAAATGTGGGTCGATCAAAAACACGTCTTCAAGTTCCATTATGGCAGAAATGCAGGTTTCGACGGCAATGTGATAATTATTTCAGAAACTGATTTAATTACACAGAGCTTTTCAAGCTTCTAAAATAGCACCACTCGGTACAATTGGCTAACGTTTGGGTAATGTGTATTTTTCCAAAACGATTCGTGTTGTCTCAAAAACGCCTTCGTGGGCAGAACGTTGGCCTCACCTTTTATTACAGTATGACATAATATGTGTGTGTGTGTGTGTGTGTGTGTGTGTGTGTGTGTGTGTGTGTGTGTGTGTGTGTGTGCGCGTGTGTGTGTATGCATAATAATCATAATAACAATATCAAGAACAATAATACTAACAATAGAATTAATTTAAATAAAATAATGTTAGAATAACAAATGCAATAATAATATTATAACACAAAATGTTTAATACGACACTACTTGGAATCAGCATCACAGCTGATTGTATGAGATCAGATACATTGTATGAATACGTTAAATTAGGTAATTCGATCCAAACTCTGAATTTATATCTCTCAGATCGCCATCCTCATTTTTGCAAGAGGAAAGCAGATGTCCATTCTCATTTCTTTGTTTGATCATTCTATTGAGTTTCCTGTATGAGACTAATCTCCTCGTGGTTTAAAGAGTGGAAATATAATACCTAAACTCAATTATTGCATCTTTCTCTTTGTAGACGGTCACATCCCTTTACCTACATTCTCCTTTGTATGGAGTGGAAAGAAAGATGTAGAGACCCTTGTTGTACTTCAATTTCAACTTGCAAATAAATGTTTTTTTCCGACATCATTTCCTCCATACTTGAATGAAATTTATTGTGATATACTCGTACATTTCATTCGATAGAGAGATAGAGGGAAGAAAAAAGTATAAAAATTCCACCTTTATATTATTAATAGCAGTAAATACAATTAATAGCCGTGATAACGATAGCCAAAACGATGATGGTAATAATAATGACAACAATAATAGCAGTAATAACAGGAATAACAACAATAATATTAATAGTAATAATGATAATGGTGATAATAATAATAATAATAGTTATTATTATTAAAATAATATAATAGTAATGCAATATAAATGAATAAATAAATAAACAGATAAGTAAATAACATCTTTTCTTGGACCGTACTCATAATATTCCATCTCCCCAATCCCCTCTCTCCCACTTCCCCGCCCCAGCTCCACCTTATTAAATCAATGGAATAATATTTTTTTTCAAATTAATAAAAAA